TAATTTTAAATAAATATATAAAACAATTTATATTTATATAACTTAATTTAAGAAAAAAATATACATATATAAAAAAATCCCAAAAAAATTAAAATGAAAATAAAATATCTGTAAGTGCTCCAGCAACTTCAAATAAACCTGGTAAATCAGCAATGTTTTTAATACTATATAATTTTAATATCTCTGATTCAATTACAACCTCGATATCAACAAGATCACTTTCAATATTTTTGCTACATTTATTAACGTAATCTTTTTCTTTCTTATTATCCCAAACACATAAACAATCTTCATTTGGGCAAACATTTTGCCATTCGACGATATGATAATTACGGTACTCGTTATAAGTACCTCTAAGCTTATCTTTAATCTTATCAATATGAAAATTATAATGATTTTTTTTACAATCACATTTACCACACATTGTTTTATCTTGATGTTTGTTTGTGATGGAAAATTTATAATCTCCTATTACCTTAGGTCCAAACTTAAGACCTGCTTTACGTTCATAAATTATTGGTTCATTTCCTATTTGACGTTTACTTGCAGAACAATTTTGTGATTTAACTTCATGCAAAGAGTTAAAAAGAAATATAAAAATTATAATAATTTTTAAAAATATCATTGCGTATAAAGTAATAAAATTTGACTTGTATTTTCTTTTGAAATACAAAAATCAAAAAAATTTTGCTTAATTTCTGTTGACTCCAATTTATGAATGAATTGCCAAGATTTTATATGTAACGTAACATAAGTTGCTAATTAGATGACTGATACTGCTGTACTGTGTAACATGTACAAGTATATGAGTGATGCACCTGTAAGTAAAATCTTATTCGCTAAGCACTGTGCTAATCTTAACCCCTGAAATACATGAACAATCAGTGTTCTGATCGTTTCAATAACACATATTTAACGTACGTACGTATGTACATAACAGTCTTATTTTTTTTACTTAAATATATATTAATTACATTATCGTTATTAACTCTTTTTAACCTTTCGTTTTTGCTGTGCCTCTTTTTCACAAGCCCTTTTTAGATTACTAACCCTTCCTACCATGTCTTCATCTGGTTTTAAGCAAAATTTGTCACGGAAAGCAATTGGACAATATGGGCGAATATTATTCCAAAGGTCTACCTGTTTTTCTTCAGGAAGACCTTTTGGCAAAAGTTCTTGAGGGTATAAACTTTCAACTTGGGCATTTTGTTTTAGTAACTGGAATTCATCTCAAAGATCAGTAGTTCTGATTTTAGCTCTTATTATACCAGGTTCTTCACAGCTAACCTGGAAAAAATAATATTTTTGAATAGCTGGAGGTAGTGTTACAAATCGTCAAATTTTTTTCAATCGATTAGTTGGTCATTATTTTTTCAGTTGGTTGCAACTAATTGATTAATGGCAACTGATTGATTAATCGATTAATCGATTAGTTGCAACTAGTTAATTAATCGATTAATCAATTAGTTGCAACTAATTCATTAAGTAAATAAATAATTTTTCAATTGATTCTTTGCAACTAATCAATTAATTCTTTAGTTGATTAGTTGCAACTAATCAATTAGTCGATTAATTGATTAATTGATTAGTTGGTATCTAAAAAGTTCAGTTGATTAGTTGTCAACTAACCAACTAATTGATTAATTTTGATTTCAATTTGTATTACTAGCTGGAGGTTTGTGGTATAATGAGCTAAGCATCGAAGTCCAATCATGAAATAATCTTGCTTGATCTTTCAAGTTTACAGCAACATTATTAGTTGCACTCTTATTTATTATATTGATTAACTGGTTAACACATCAGACTTCTGATCTGGCATACTCTTTTTTGGTATTACCAAATCCATGTTCAACAGAATTTCAGATATGACCCTTAATCTGAAAACAGTATTCAATCTTTTGAAACATTTGGATATGGCAAGCTTAAAGGAAGTACTATAAAAGACATGAATTTTTATTTTGTCCACCATAATTATCTGCCTATAATCTAATTTCATTTGCCTTATCTATATAGTTAAGAAATTTTGTAAGTCATATTTTAAATATATTTTAAAGTTTATAAATTAATTAAACTGTTTAATTCTATTTATCTGCAGCAGAAGTAAGAAATAGATACAAGATTGATGTAACTTCATTTGCCTCTTTTAATATCTTTTTTTTAGTATAAATAATATGCCAATGACAGTTAATACCTTTATCCACTAATTCAAATTGGTGTACTTTCAACAATGATAAATAGTATCACCTTCTTGGTTGTTGTAAATCATGAAGCAGCTTTACATTTTAGATGAAGTCAAAAGAAAAAACACAAAATGAAGACTGATTGTTCTTTTTTGCAACTTAAATATCATTTTTATAAACTTCTCTTATAGTATGATAATCTTGTATATACATAGTAAACTATTTATTAAAATTTTCATTACATTACTTCTTTCTTTTAATGTATGTCTAAAAAGGATACACTTATCACATACGTCTTTAGATAGTTTTTTAATAATAATTTTGCAAAAGTTATTATCATCTTTCTATATTTGTTGAAAGGTCCAACAATTTATAAAGTTATTCAGATTAATTAAGTTATAAAAAAACAGAAAGATGACTATTTGAATAGTGAGTTAAAAGAAAAACAAAATCATATTTTTTATATTGTACAGTAATTTGTCTATTTACTTTTTTTTGTATATACTTTCAAACTGTCAATGTCTTGCCATATTGTTTTTCAACTAATTTAATGAAAGATTTTACTTCACTAACTGTCTTAATAGGTAAATGGTCAATATTTCTATGAGGTTAGGGAAGCATTGATTGCTTTTCTTGAACTCATCTATAAAGACAATAAAATGCATCTCTATTACATATCTAAAATATTTGAAAAAAGGAACTGCAAACTTCACCAAAGTATTGCAGTTAATATTTAGTATGAAATTGTTGTTTGTATAATCCTTTATTAGAGAAAGCTATAAGTATTATTATTGAATAATATTATTGTTGTTTATTCATTTTAATACTTTCTATTATTAAAGATTGCAATAGGTTTGATAAAATATTATTACTGCACTTATTTTTATACAAACAGCATAACTTTAGTTTGTTGATTAATTTATCAATTGTAGTTTGATGCCTTTCAGTTTCTTTATCTATAACATTCTCATTTTCTTTACTAGATTCTGATTCAAATAAAAAGGTTTTATTATTATGTTCTATTTTACTAAGTTTCATTGTAAAGAAGATAGGGTTTAGAATCTCAAAAAAGAATTCTAAATCCTCTAGAATTTCCATTAATAAAAAAAAAAGTTTTTTTAAAATTAATAAATTTTTGAATTAAAAAAAATAATTTTAAATAAATTAAAAACTTTAGATCTGGAGTTATACATAGCAGTTTATGTACTAATTAAGATTCTTGTTCTTTATATACTTATTTTTTTTTCTCCCTCTACTATCCTGAAGGTCCTTAGTCATCTTAGAATCTGTCACATCTCTCAAGTCCAGAGTTATCATCTAGCAGAGTTCATTGAACAGATGAATTAGTCTTATTTTATATTACTAAACTAGTGAAATAGCTCATGCTCTGTTAAGTCTGTTATATGATATCTCAGGTCTCTGGTCCCACAGTATAGAACCTACGTTTTTAGGTCTGCAGTTTCCTAACTTCACATAACCCACTAATCAGATCATACTTTATAATGCTTATTATATTCTTAAGCTGGGTTTTACTCAATTTTTACATCATTTGTTAACAGATTCACCTTATTTGGTTATCCTTGATCCTGTAGTTATGCCAACAGACTGTATTCTACATGTATGAATCCTGTTTATTCTTTACATAAAAAATTTTTCTCTCAAAGATCATTCTAGTTATGGTTTTGACAAAGCCTTGTCTTCTAGTTAGATTTGAACCTGCAACCTTGTGACTATAACCTGGGAGCACTAATCACTTGCTATTAACTCACAGGTCTTTTTTTTTTTTTTTTTTTTTTTTTTTTGTATATTTTGAATCAAATTCTACTGCAATAATTGAATAATGTATACAATTAGTTCTTAGACTGTTTTAAGCTAAACAATAACTTCAAGACTATATGATGGCAAAGTACTTATGATATTTACAGATACTTATCTCAATGAACTTAACAAAGAACCTGATATCCATTTGACTCAAACTGGGCTAATCAGATTCTTTATGAAATTTATTAAAATAAGTGCTTAAAAATATTCTTTGTTTGGATTCTAGTTAAAGTAGTATTCTAGTCATAAAGACAAATTTTGTCACTAAAATGAGATGCTACTTAAACAGTTGCATTCTGATTGACAAATCATTTAGTCAAACTTTTAATGAAGATATCTTGGCATTCAACTATCTAAAATCAACAATTTTTTTATTTTAATTATATATTTGATAGATTTTTTTATTTTAATTATATATTTATATGATAAATTTTTTATTTATATATAATAAATTTTTTTTATCTTAATTATATATTTATATGATAAATTTTTTATTATATGATAAAATTTTTTTATATTTTAATTATACATTATATAAAATAAGAATAAAATAATTTTTTGTCAATTTTAGATAGGTGGTTGTTAAGATATCTTAACTTAAAATTTGGAAAAAACTTTATCACAACTTTTGTTTAACAGTTAAGGTATCTTCACTTAAAGTTTAAAAAAAAACTTTACTGCAACTTCTGTTTGACAGTTAACCAAGTTTTACAACTACTGATCTAAAATCAATAAAATTTTTTTTATTCTGATTATATATGCCTGCCTTTGCCTGTATAATTAAAATAAAAATTTTTATCAATTTTAGATAGTAGTTGTCAAGATATCTTTGCTCAAAGTTTAGAAAAAACTTTGTTGTAGCTTTTGTTTTGATTAGATAGAGAAGTGATATAAGTGTGTATTACAAAAGTATTAAGGTAACACATGCTATTGAAATAACTAAAACACTGGTTGCAGGGGCTAAGATTAGTACAATGCTTAGCAAATAAGATTTTACTTACAGGTTTTCCTTGTATATCACTTATATAGTGTGATCTATTAATCAGCAATCTGTAAAACTTTTCAAAATCTATCAGTATTATCTGAATAATTTTTGTATGTTGCAGATCAACTGTTCAAATTATGTATACAAATTATAATTAACTATTTGAAATATAGTTATTTGTTAAAATTATAGTTAACTGTTCAAACTATACAAATTATAGTTTGTAAATAGATATTATCTGCAATCTGTATATTTCAAACAGATTGAACAGTTAATTAGTAAATTACTACAATGAAGTATTGATATTAATTAAATAAAAAAATTCAATATATGTCAAAAATAGAGATGCTTGTAAAATTTCTAACACTTTTACTAATTTAATATTAATTTCACTTCTATAAAAACAAGTTGTCTTATATTTGTATTATTTTTGTTTAAAGTTATTTAATTTTTGTATAAATTTTTATTATTTTGTATAATTTTTGTCTAATTAAAAAAATTTTTAAAAAATCGATTTAAATTAAATAGCTAGATTTTATATATTTAAATAAAAATATACAATTTATATATAATTTTTTTAATAAACAAAAATTAAACAAATTTTTAATAAACAAAAATTAAATGAATTTTTTTAATAGA